TACTCCAGGTGCCCGCCATCAGGCATGCATTCAGGACCGCAAGGATCCATCATCTGTCCTGATGGCGGGAGGGCAGTAAAGCCTGACATTTTTCCTTACCCTACATGCCCCTACAAAGCCATGCTCTGTGATGAGAAATGTAATGAGAAATGAGTCTGGTAAGGTAGTTGTTATTAGTTGAATTGTGTCTCCCAAAAGGAAGTGTTCACATCCTCACCCCCAATACCTGTGAATGTGACCTTATTTGGAAAGATGTTCTTTACAGTTGTAATGAAGTTAAGATGAGATCATACTAGATTATGATGACTTTAAATCCCATGCCCTTATAAGGAGAGGGGATTTGGAAACCACAGATAATACGTACAAGGCCAAAGCCTATACAACGAGACAGAGACTGGAGTGACGTGTCTACAAGGCAAGGAAGACCGAGGATGGCCAGCTACTGTTTGAAGGTAGAAGACAGGCGTGGCACAGATTCTCCCTTGGAGCCTCTGGAAGGAACCAACACCTTGATTTCAGACTCTTGGTCTCATGAGCTGTGAGGGAACAAATTTCTGCTGTTTTAAGCCACCTAGTTTGTTACAGCAGCACTAGTAGTAATACAGTCACTTTTCCCCTCATTAATGAGTTAAACATTTTTTGGCATGTGGTCACTCTATCCTTATATGAAAAAGAACACTATTCTTTGCCTGGGCTGTTACTCCAGTTCACTCTAAGCAATGTCTCCCACTTCCCGGCCCTCTGTCCCAAGCATTGGGAAATCCAGACCTGGCCCTTAGCTCCCAGTGGATGGCAGGAAGAGCCAGTCTAGCAACAAAAAGGCCAGAGTTGGAGAAGGAGATAAGGAGAAGATTGACCTTTCCAAACCTAGCCACACCTGAGGAGTAGAGCTGAGAAAATACTCATAAACCCAAGCCAGAGGGGCCAGGGCTAGCGCTCAGTGATACAAAGCAGATGGCCAAACAGCCTGCTGTGCCTTCTCTCTCTCTAACACACCAAAATGCCTCTACAAAGCCATGGGTCTGTGATGAGAAATGTAGTGAGTAATGAGTTTCCTAGGGTAGTTTTCATGAGTTGAATTGCATCCCCCAAAAAGAAGTGTTCACATCCTAACCCCCTGACCCCTGTGAATGTGACCTTATGTGGGGTCATTTTGAGGTGTCTCATTCAGAATGGCAGAGAAGGGTGTGCAAGGAGGAAATGTACAAGTGGGGTCACAGGGGAGGCCTGGAGCGGGACACCTCAGCCTTCATGCAGAACTTACCAAAGCTTCTGGTAGGAGGCCCAGGTTCCAACCATCCCCTTTCTCAGGACACCCTAGAAGCTAGGGCGGTGAGGCAGAAGTTGGGGTTTGAATCTCATCTCCCTCTTTTACTTGCTGTGTGACAGGACCAGAAATATGACCATCAGATCCCTTATTTGGAAAATTATCAACAACCCCACTAGTTCCCATCAGGCCTCAATGAACTCAGGGACAAGAAAGCACCAAACACAGAATCTGGCATGAAATTGAAAAAAAAATGAGTCATCCGCAAATTGTAGCTCCCTTTTTTGAGGAAATAACTGAGCAAGAGGTTGGGAGGTGAAAGCAACTTAAGTAATTTTGTTCTCCAAAAATGGAAAGTATCTTAGTTTGAAAAAAATTACTGCATTCCACTAATTCTAAGATGCACTTCCCCTGGCCCTCATGTTTTAACACCTTAGAGACCCAGATGAGTCTTACTTACTGGCAACATGTTTAAATGGTAGCAATTTTCCTCATGGTAATATATTAAATGACACGGTGGCTCTCAATCAATGGCATCTTAGGTTTATGAGTGGTGGTCTAAAATTGAGACATGCTCATTGTATAAAGTTTAGACACACAGAAGTAAATATAATAAAGGTTCTCTTGAATTCCAGTCTCCAGAGAATACCACCACCCTACAGACAGCCCACTTTGTGTGAAAGTGCTTGTTTCTGTTTTCATTCTCCTTAATTGCCCAGAAAATCTCCTCAGATAAGTCACCCATACCCCCTCCAGTTCACCAGAGGCAAATTAATGCTCAGCTAAAGACTTCAATACATGAGAAATTTTAATTTCATGATGGGACACCTTCCCCACCCCACCCCATGTGGCAGGCACCTCCCCTGCTGCCCAGCCTCATCTGGGGTGCAGGGCCCTGTGTCCACCAGAAGGTGTTGGGCAGAGGGAGTGGATGACTTAAGGCTTTTTGAAAATGTCTGTGCAATGCAATTTTCCATTTTACTACTTGCAAGTGACAAAAGTCAGGATGGTGTGGGGCCTACAGAGGGGAAGCAGTGGGAAATCAGAAACGTGTGTCTTATACAAGGACAGACTTTTTTAGTCACAACATGATTTACCAAAACCACCAGCAGCCCTCACGCTCAGCTCTATGCCAACCTAACCACACAGGAAGGAGGAGGCAAAGCTTCCTAACAAGCATATCTGCTGAGCAGGTGGTGGCTGTCAGGATCAATGGGCTATAAAAGAGTATAAGAACCACATTTTTCAAAGGAGATGGGCTGAGGACTTGTCCAAGGTCATTTGACTAGCGATCAGTGGAATCTGCCTAGAATCCACTGTAGTCTAAGGCAAACAATCCAGGGCTCTTTCCTCCAGGCCACAGTGCTCCCGAGGGGATGCCCTCCCACCCCCATCAGCTATGTACAAAATCTGCCCTGCCCTAAGTCTGCTTCCACGGCTGTCTGTGGATCACAACTACAAATGAAGACTGAAACGACAGGCAAGGGGAAGGAGGCGGGAAACACACCAGCCTGGGGGCCCGCTGGCTATGAATGAGACTTCTGTTTGCCTGCCCTGTGCGTCTGGAATTTTGTATGAAAACAATGAACTGGAAGAAGGTGAAAGCATGTTCCCAAAAGCAAGGCCACCATACACACAGCCCCCCCTCATTTTATGAAAGGCTAGCTTTGTTTCGAGCAAGGCAAAAGAAACGCTGGGGGATGCTAAGGTTTGGGGCAGTTCAGGTGTTTGGGGTTAAAATGCCAAAGGCCTGGCAGGAGGCAGGCGTCAGAAAAAATCAGGGGCTCACCAGAACCTGGGGTTCCAGGCTCTAATCATCTTTAGAACCGCCGTCATATTGGTTTAATTTTCTATAGTTTGCAAAATGCTTTCTTAGACATTTTCTCAACAAATCAGTAGAGAGCTTGGGGAGGGACAGAGAACATCAATTCCTCAGCCTTCTCACTTGCTCACTGGGGGCCGTGTGTGCCAGGCATTGTTGGGGAGACAGTGCTTTATCCATCACTGTCCCCATCCTCGGGAGTCTGACAGACTGCACTGAGGGCCTGGCTAGCTTCAGGACCCTTCTGTGAATCAGTCAATTATAGCACCAGCTGCAAAAAGAATGACAGTGACTGCCTGGCAGGAAGGCTGTGAGAACTAAACAGCTCTTGCTTCAGTCGATGGTAGCCAATAGCTGCTAGAGCTGGTGAGAGGTTCACAGTGGGGTGGGGACCAGGGGGAGGGGAGGCATATGGTTTGGTCTGCATATCTCACCTAGGTATAAGTTCCTTCTAGAAAAACAGGATGTGGAGGCTGGAAGGGGGCAGCATCACATCAGGCAGGCATTGAGAGATGCTCTGGTGAAGGGGGACCGAGGCTTGGGGGTTGCTGATGGACAATTCAAGGTTGTGTGCAATTTTTCACTTTATCTATGATACACAAGTCCTGAGACCTAATGAGGGATGAACTATATCACTCCTCTCCCTTAGCTGGTTCTGAGACATAAGTGGGGCTCTCTGCCCTCTGCCACTCCCACTGTCTTCCTGACTCTGCCCCAGGCCCACTGGCTGCCTCACTGGCCCTCAAACATGACAAGCATGTTCCTGCCTCAGGGCACGGACACATGCTGTGTCAGATACGTTCTTCCCGTAGACAGCCACACAGTCCACTGCCTTTGGTCCAATGCCACCTTTTCAAAGAGGTCACCTTTGACCACCTTATATAAAATAGCAACCTACTGATGGTGTCCATTTGGCTACATCACGTTGAATTTTCCTCCAGATCATTCATCAGATCAGAATATACTTTATAACACATACTAGTTTGTTATCTGTCTCTCGCTCCACTAGAACATAAGTTCCATGAGGGTGAAGTGAACTTACTAGGTGATAGCACTAGGACTTGCCTAGCATGCAAAATGTACTCAAACAATATTTGAACCTCTGGTAAGAGAAATAGCAGGCTGCCTCACAAAAGCATGACACAAAGCCTTTTTTTATTATCTAGAGCTGGCATTTTTTGGCAAGTGCTTCATATAGGACACTGGACTAAGCCCTTGACATGCATTAAATTAGCTAATTTAACCAAGTGCACAGATGAGGACAGTGGATCTCAAAATTTAGTCCCTTGACTCAGGTAGTATGGCAGAGCCAGACCTACACCTAGTCCTGATGACCTGAGAGTGTGGGTCCCAGCTACGTAGAATGCTCACTCCCAATGCATCTGAAGTCTGAAAGGATGGACTTCAGAACTGTAGGCTTACAGGGGATCTATACTCCATCTTCATATTTTCCTAAATATTTTAATTTCTTCTCTGATATTCATTTTATTATTAGGACCAGCAAAAGTTTGATCTGCCTATATGGTCTACATACCAGGCATTGCCAAAAAACTGGGAACCCGCAAGAGGGAGGTGGGTCACAACTCTTCCAGGAGCCTCTGAATCCCAGAATCTCTGGTAAGAGCAGGAGGGATCTGGGGACCCCTGCTACAAATGTTGATGGCAGGAAGACAACATTCATATCAGCTGTCTGGGCTGCAATTGTAAGAGGCAGCAAGGCCTAAGATGGGAGGGAAACCTTACTCCACAAGCACAACCATGTGACTTTCTTCTGGATTCTGGCACTGCATGGACAATAAAAACACTTCAAGTCCTGAGACTGACTTGCTTAACTGATGCCACCATCCCAAAATGGTTCTTTTTTTTTTTTTTTCATAATTGAAGTATTTTATTTTATAAAAGAGTTAGTTTCTGCTTTACGGTAGATTTCTCCACAGCCAATTCAAGGAAGATCATTTAGTCCAACTTAATGAAGCCTATGTCCTTGGCATACTGACAGAAACACTGGCGGCACATGCTGAGTCCATATTTCTGGATCAGGCCGTGTCGGTTTGAACAGACTTGGCAAGAGCGAGAACCCTGGCCGAATTTTCTCAGGTGACTCCAGTAGAGCTGCTGGTGACCCATCTTGCTTTCTTAGAGGCAACAAGGCCAAAAGGCCAAAATGGTTCTTAGCTTTGGAGTTGTAACAAGGCTCCAACTTTCACCCAGAAATAACCAGCAGAGTTTTCCAGTAAGGTAACTCCATCCCACACCTGGTGTGTGTTTCTGTCCTTATAGGGCCTAGTCAGATGGAAAGGAATGCTGTGACAACCATGTGACCACAACCCTCACATCCATGACCCTCCCAGTTGTCAGTTATCACTATGTCAGGGCCAAGTCAGAAGAAAAAACCCAAGAGAATGTCCTTGTCCTTAGGAGAGTTGACTCTTGAACAACACAGGTATTGAGGATGCCAACCTAACACTAATGTGGTCAAAAATCTGAGTATAACTTTTGAGTCCCCAAAAACTTAATAGCATGTTGTTAGTTGACAGAAGGCCTATATAGTCAATTAATACATATTGGATGTCTTATGTGTTACATACTACAGTCTTACAGCAAAGTAAGCTAGATAAAAGAAAATGTTAAGAAAACCATGAGAAAATATATTTAGAGCACTGTACAGCATTTATCAATACTGTACTATTACTGAAAAAAAATCTGCATACAAGTGGATCTGTGAAGTTCAAACCCATGTTCAAGGGTCAATGTACACACTAAAACCTATAGGGGCAAAGAAATGCTACGGAAGAATTGACATTCTCAAACAGTTGAGGAAAAAATGTGTGTGACTAAACATAGAGAAAGTGATAAAGCAAATGGAGCAAAATGTAAACAACCAGCAAATTGGTAAATGTGAGTTCCTTGTGTTGTTTTTGCAAATTTCTGTAAATTTCATTCTTGTTTATTAATTTGTTTTTAAAGATTTATTTATGCAAACAAGAACTGGGGTGTAGGCCAGAGGTGAGAGGATTCACGAGACAGAGAATAGGGAGCAGAACAGGCAGACTGACTGAAATACTCTACTGAGGGGAGCAGTGGGTAAGGCAGGAGAGGTCTGCTGTGCCATGTGGGTTAACTCCCTGGCCAGGGAGCAAACTCGTGCCACAGTGGCTGGCAATAGCTTCATAGCACTGTGTCTTTAACCCCTCCCGCCAGGAAGGCCCTTGTTTATTAATTTTTAATTGAGGTAGCATTGGTTTACAACACTGAATGTGTTTCAGAGGCACCGGCTCACACCTCCCCAGAGGCCTGGCACCACACCACACCCACCACCAAGGCAACCACTGTCCTCCCCCATAGTGCATTGTGCCCCTCCCCTCATTACCGCCCACCCCCTAGCATGTAGCCACAATTCCTCAGCCAGATTTCTAGGATTAATATTTCTATAAATTTTTTTTTTTTTTTTATTTTTTTTTTAATAAATTTTATTGTTATATTCCCCATACAGTTGCAGCCCCCCATTCTGACCCCAATCCCTCCCCTCCCACCCCGCCCCCCTAAAAGTGTCTCTGGTTCATAGTTTTTTGTTGATTTTGATTTTCACTTTCTTATAGTTATTCATTTTCCTGGTCCCTTATTTAAGTTTTCTAGATTCCTGCTATGAGTGAGACCATCCGGTATTTTTCTTTTTCTTTTTGGCTTATTTCGCTGAGCATGATCCCTTCCAGCGCCATCCATGTTGCTGCAAATTGCATGTGTTTATCTTTTTTGAATGCTGAGTAATATTCCATGGTATATATGTACCACATCTTCTTGATCCAGTCATCTACTTTTGGGCATTTCTATTTTAAGTCATATCAAAAGTAACAAAGAAAACGTACATGTGTGCTGAACTGACTAAGGACTCAGCCTGGGGTTCAGAGGATCTATGCAATTCCTTTTCTTATACTAAACCCCCCCAGGAACCGAAGAAAATTTTGATCTCACCTCCTTCCTCTTGCCATGGGTCACTCTGGATTCTCTTGTTTTCTGGTATGGAAAACATCCTGCTTGAACAAGAGCTTTGATGATAAAAAATGCAATAAATGCCCAGGGCCTGAGATGGAAATCTTTGCAAGGGACTGTAAGAGATAACATGGAAGGGGAAACTTGGGTAACTCCCCACGCAGAGGCCAAAGCAGGATCAACAAAGAGAAAATCTGAGAACTCACAGATACACCTCCCAGGGCTGGAGGGCAAGTGAAGCAGACTCTGCCATTCAGGAACTCATGTTTAATAGGGAAAAGAAGCTACGCAGAGGCAACCCCTGGAATGGAAAGTCACAGAAAAAGTCCTCTATGGGTCTGAGAGCAGGGAGGCTGCTTGGGGGATCCTTGGGGATATTGTGAGGGACACAGGAAGGAAGAAATGCCTGCAGTGAGGTCTCCTGATAAAAATCCCTTTCTGCTTGAGTCAGCCTGCTGGCTCATCAAAACCCAAAGCATGACTCCTCCCCTGCAGTGAGCAGCCTTTGCGCCATCCCAGTTCTGATGCACACCCAGTCCTCTCTGCTTCAGCTGTTTCTCCCACCTGAATTCCCCTCTCCCAGGCATCCTCCCAAATCCTGCTCTTCCTCCCACCTGACACTTTCCTACCTTCCCCTTGTGATGCCTTCCTTCCTGTTACACCCCCCAAAATCCTCAATCTTTGCTTTCCTTCAAGGCCAGTGTGCAGTTTTCCAGTCTTCAAGCTGCTCCCCGCCCCCCCCCCCAGTATTCATTTGATTTTGAAACAATGCAAAACATCAGTATGACCTGGTCATTTAGACATTCAATGCTTCCTCAGCATGCATGGGCAGGAAGTTATTTTGAACTGACCAGTCCCACCATGCTCTGCAGTTTAGATACTTCCAGGAGGAATTCTTGAAAGTCCTGACAAACCATCACTGCTCCAGCAGGCACTCAAATGGAGGGCAAACTTGCCACATGACAGGGATCTGGTGGCTGAGGAAGCCAAGCTGGCCAGAGTGAATGGCAGCTGGAGGTGCATTCCAGGAACTGAAGCTGTCATGATAGGAGTTGAATTGTGGTAGCACAGCTACAAAAACTAGGACTAATGTAGTTAGGGATACAAGGAATACTTTGTATTGTAAAATGCTGCCACAGGCGGCAGGAGTCAGATGAAGGTAGAGCAGCGTATAAAGATTTGTATCAGAAGTTGTGAATGTTGAACCATTAGAGCAATCTCTAGATGTCTAGGGTGACCCGAGAAAAGAAAAGCAATATGCAGAGGTCTTCATAAAGCTAGTCTATTTATTTATTTATTTATTTTTAAAGATTTATTTATTTATTTATACATGCACTGGGTACAGTCAGAAGCGCGGGAGGGTGAGAGAATTCACCAGAGCCAGAGCGGGGAGCAGAGCAGGCAGAAGGACCGAAGTACACTGCTGAGGGGAGCAGCGGGCGGCAGGAGAGGTCTGCGCGCCATGTGGGACCCTCCTCTGGTAGCCGGGGAGCAGCCAGGGATCGAACCAGCGCTGCAGAGGCTGCGGGCAGCTTCGCAACCCAGCGCTCAACCGCTGCGCCACCAGGGAAGCCCTATTTATTTTTTAAACAGATTTATTTATGCATGTAAGAACTGGGGTACAGGTCAGAGGTGTGTGGGGGAGGGTGAGAGGATTCACCAGAGACAGAGTGGGGAACAGAACAGGCAGACTGACTGAAATACACTGCTGAGGGGAGCAGCGGGCGAGGCAGGAGAGGTCTGCTGCACCATGAGGATTACCTCCCAGGTCTGCCGTGGACCGAACTCCTGTTGCAGAGGTTGCGGATTGCTTCACAGTGCTGTGCTTGTCCTTGCACTGCCAGGGAGGCCCAAAGCTAGTCTATTAAAGGACTTTTTTTTTTTTTTTTTAATACAGCTCCACGATCCAGAAAGCTCTCTTTTTTGGTTTGGTACCCAAACTCATTTGGCAAAAATCCTATCCTGAACCAATATAGTTACTGATAGCCTGTCCTTATTCCACTTAGTTGAATATTCTTTTGATTTACTGTGGAAATTTTACATTTTATAATGAGTGTCAATATGAGCCCTATTACCTTTTCAAAAATGTAAAAACTTTCAATTCCAAAACAATTCTGGCTTCTGGGGTTTCAAAAGGAATTGTGGACCATTATCAGGTGCACCATAATTTTTAGGTTATTATGGTCTTTCTTTAATGAAATTGTGAAAGTAAATGTAACCACACATTTTTTTTAAATAAAAACAAAAAATGGTATTGCTTAGTAAAATTAAAAGTTGGCAATCCTATGCCTAGTTCCATAACTTCTGGACCATTATTCTGTGAAGCCCAACTCTGGTATAAGGCACTTGTGGGACTTTCCAAACCTAGGTTTTATGAGTACAGAGGTTGCCAGCTGGTAGGCCCACTGACCAAACTGAGTCTGCAAGCATGTTTTCTTTGCCTCGCACTGTGCCTTCTCCCCTACCCATCAATCTGGGAGATGAACATAAAAGTCCAGTTTCTCTTGAAAATTCAGGGCCTCCTTGATGGCACAGACGTTAAAGACAGCACAATGAAGCTATTGTCAGCCACTGCAGCATGAGTTCGATCCATGGCCAGCCAGGGAGCAGCCCACATGGCATAACAGACCTCTCCTGTCTCACCCGCTGCTCCCGTCAGCAGTGTATTTCAGTAGATCTGCCTGTTCTGCTCCCCACTCTCTCTGGTGAATCCTCTCACCCCCCACACCTCTGGCCTACACCCCAGTTCTTGTATGCATAAATAAGTAAATCTTTAAAAAAAAATTTAGATGATGTTGACACTAGTCCCATGTGGCATACCACCAGCTGGAATCAGGAGGCAGGTGGCTCCCTCTGCCTTCCAGCTGACCCCTCTCAAGAGATGGATTTTCCCAGTAGGACTGCTGATTCCCAGCTCCATATGGAAGTGCTGCTCTAGCCAATATCTCCACACAAAAGTAGGAGGCTGCTCTTCAGGGAAGGCCTGGAGCAGAGGGTTCTGGAAAGCTGGCAGGCCAAGAGCAACTTGCTCAACTCAGTGAGCATCTTAGTTGAGGTAATGAAAGCACTTGCTTGATTAGGAATTCCTTCCAGCTTTCACAGCAACTCCTGCCAAAGCTGCAATTATCAGGACCTTTGTCACAGCCTGCATGAAGCCTAGCTGCTGAAAGCCTGCATGTAATATGGTCCTTTGTCCACAAGTATGGTTGCATTCTGAGGAAAAGTAGTTTCAAAGATGGTATTACTACACTTAAAATATCTTTTATTTAAAAAACACAACACAACATAAAAACAGTGAATTTGGTTTTCTAGATTCCTGCTATGAAACTGAAACAGATTTTGAGGACCTGTAAGACCAGAAAAATAATTTTTTTTCCTCAGATGACATGATCAGGTAGAGGATTCTATTTCTAAAATACTCCAGGTGTTATCACAGTACATGAACCCATCTTCACTGATAAAAAGGATTTTGCATGACATGGATGGAGCTGGAAGGGATCATGCTCAGTGAAATAAGCCAGAAAGAAAAAGAAAAATACTGGATGGTCTCACTCATAGCAGGAATCTAGAAAACCTAAATAAGGGACCAGGAAAAAGAATAACTATAAGAAAGAAAAAATCAAAATCAACAAACAACTATAAACCAGAGACACACTATTGGGGGGGGGCAGGGAAAGGAGGAGTTTGGGGTCAAAATAAGGGGGGTGCAATTGTATGGGAATATAAAAATTAAAAAAAAAATTAAAAATATTAAAGATTTAAAAAAGGATTTTGCATGGACGCAGTAAATATAAAATTCATTAATTTTGGGCTAAAGTATTTAAAATACAAAGTTTCCCCTTTTTTGGCAAAGTTACATTACTGTATAAATTTTTAAGGATTTTTAAATGCTACTTTATTAGCTATGTGAAGTACTAAATTAGAATGCCAACTTAAAACTATATCAAATTTAGTTAGTAGAATCAAATGGGATCCACTCTTTCTATAACTTTAAAGGAAAATAATAGTTGGTTAAAAATAGCCAAAACATGAAGGGGAAGATTCTATACTTCCAAAACATTAACAGCGATGTAGAGCGATGGTACTTCAATTTAAAAAAAAATCCAAAACACATTCCTCTTTCAAAGCTAGTTATAGAGCACACGGGGTGGGAGAGGAATGATTGGGGTGGGAGGAAGGTAAATAAACACAGCTAATTATCTCAAAGCAAGTTTTCAACCAAAGCCAGAATGATAGAACTACACGAAGATTTTATGAACAGTGAAGTAATTTATAGCAGAAGCCTGGAATGCAAAAAGTGAAAGAGTTGTTCTCAGGGATTTTGGAGTGCCTTCCTTGTCTGCTTGAAGAGCCCACCACAAGGACGCGTCGGTCCTCAGCCTCGAAGGAAAGGATCCGTGTCCCCTGGAAAGCTATCCAAGCGGGCATAGCTGCTTCAAGTTCTATGTGGAACAAGATAATGGGCCTGATAAATACATAAAAGTTTAGGTAATAAACAACTCCATGATAAAAGCTAAATGAAGTCTGGCTATCCAGATGTACTTTAACCAATTCAAGGGTCAAGATGTAAAGATGAAATAAACAGCAGCTGTAGACAGTGAGAACATAACCAGCTAAAGTTTCTTGGTACTTCCCCACTTACCCCAGGTCCCTTTTGTTTTTATTTATTCTCGATATTCTTGCCTTTTTCATAGGCTTTTACTCAATGTCCTTGACAGGGTAAAAAGAAATCATGTGTTGTAAGATCTGTGCTGAACCATGCTTATTTTTTTCCCAAAGATTTATTTATTTATGCGAACAAACACTAGGATGTAAGCCAGAGGTGCAAGGGTTGGGGGTGAGAGGATTCACCAGAGAGAGTGGGGAGCAGAATAGGCAGATCCACTCAAATACACTGCTGAGGGGAGCAACAGGAGAGATAGGCGGGCTCTGCTGCGCCCTGTGGGTCAGCTCCCTGGCTGGCCTGGGATTGAACTCGTGCTGTATTGGCTGGCGATAGCTTGATAGCGCTGTGTCTTTAACCCCCGCACCACCAGAGGCCCTGAAACATGCTTATTTAGGAAAACATATACAGCTGCTTACTGTACTAAATGAGCAGCACTATAAGCATATGTAATAAGAGATGGTGAACATAGGCCTCCATGTGCAAGTAGTAGCTCCATCCAACAGGAGACTCCTGTCAAAGAGTCAGTCTGGTGAAGACACTTCTTCCTGTCTTAAAAAAATCCTCTACTTGTTAGCTGTTACTTGCTAGCAACAGTTCAAATGATTACCCAGAGCAAGAATCTGGGACAACACACGAAACCCTAAAAATGCTTTCCAATCACAATGCCTTTTCTAGGAAAAGCAATCCCAGATCTGCCCCTACCAGCACCCCTTATGTCCCTTGTTCCTCTCTCCCCTCCCTCTTAACGTCAGTCCTCAAGATGTTTGTTGATGTCCAGTAGTTTTTGAAAATGTTTTGTTGTCAAATTGTCCATTTTATGAAAGTCCAGTATTTGTTTCTTGTTTTGACTTCCTTTGCTGCACGATTCTTTCAAATTCCCTCCATTTTGGTGAAAATGGCTGCATTTCAGCCTTTTTTTTTGTGGCTATGTACTATTCCATGATGTGGATATATCTTTTGATCTATTTGTCTATTGAAGGAGATTTAGTTTGCTTTCATGTCCTAGCTATTGTAAATAATGCTGCTGTTATAATATCGTCAAACATGTATGTTTGTTTTTTTTTTTAGATTTATTTATTTATTTAAAAAAGCACTGGGTACAGTCAGAAGCGCGGGAGGGTGAGAGAATTCACCAGAGCCAGAGTGGGGAGCAGAGCAGGCAGAAGGACCGAGGTACACTGCTGAGGGGAGCAGCGGGCGGCAGGAGAGGTCTGCGCGCCATGTGGGACCCTCCTCGGGTGGCCGGGGAGCAGCCGGGGATCGAACTGGCGCTTCGCAACCCAACGCTCAACCGCTGCGCCACCGGGGAAGCCCCACATGTAGGGTTTTTTTGTAGGTAGTTTCACAATCTGTGGACATATGCTCAAGAGTGGGATTGCTGGATCATATGGTGTTTCTATCTTTAATTTTTTAAGGTAAATCCAGATGGCGTTCCATAACCTTTGTATCAGTTCACATTCCCACCAACAGTGTAGCATTTTTCCTTTTTCTCCTCATCCTCTCCAACACATGTTGTGTTTTCTGATATGTTCTATTTTCACAGGTGTGAGGTTGTAGTTGTAATCTGCATCTCTTGTTAGGTGTGATGAGGAACATTTTTTCATTTCTTTTGACCATCTGCATCCTTTTTAGTGATGTATTTGTTCATACCTGCTGCCCATTTGTTAACTGGATTATTTTTTGTTGATGCGTATGAGGTTTTTTTTTTTTTTTTAAAGATCTATTTTCTTTTATGCATACAAGAGCTGGAGCACAAGCCAGAGATGCAGGTGGTGAGAGGACCCAACAGAGACAGAACAGGCAGACCGACCGAAGTACACTGCTGAGAGGAGCAACGGACGAGCCAGGAGAGGTCTGCTGCACCATGTGGGTTGCTCCCTGGCTGGCCGGGGATCGAACTCGTGCTGCAGAGGCTGCGGACAGCCTCATAGGCTGCGTCTCAACCCCTTGCGCCACCAGGGAGGCCCCGTGTATGAGTTTTTAATATATTTGCATATTAATCACTTACCTTTTATAAACTATGTAGTAATTTTTCCCATTAAGCAGGGTGTCTATTTAATCATCTTGTATTTTTTTTGCTGTATAGAGGCTTTTTAACTTCGGTATTCCCAATTGTTTATTTTTGTTTTTAATTCCTTTGCCATAGGGGTTGAGTCACCAAAAAATATCCTTATTGTTATGGTGGAATGTATCACCAGTGTACTCTTCTATGTATTTCATTGCTGCAGGTCTTATACCTAAATAGTTAACCCATTTGGAGTTCATTTTTGTGTATGATATTAAAGAGCAATCCAACTAAGCACATTATTTCCAAAGACACAACTATGAAGGGGACAAATAGAGCTAGGTGATGAAGCTTTCCTAGGATTCATTACATTGCAGTGATAGCTCAACCACAGAGTCTCAACAGTTGAGTCAATCAATTCATTTTATATAGCTGTACTGGTTCACCTAAAATTTTTGATATTTGCAGTATTTTTTCCAATATGACATTTTCATAAACACCATTTACCACTCAAATCACAATTCACACACATCATCTTTTTAATTTCTTTCTATCACTAAAAATACAGATATTATTTTCTCCATTGATAGGTGAGGAAATGGAGTCTCAGAAAAGATAAATGATTTGCCCAAGGTAACATAGCTAATAAAAGGCAGAGTCAGGATGTCAAAACGGATCTGTTTAGCTTCAAACACCACATTCTTTTCAGTTTCAGTTATGTAGCACCTCTGAGTAATTCTTAAATGTATCATTATAGGGTTGTTCAATTCTTAACTGTTGTAGTTAAAATTTTTAATGACTCAATTACTAGCAGTGAATAATCCTACTCTTTATTCAACCTGGAAGTGAACAAAACTGAACAAAACTGGAGGTATTGCTCATGAATAGGCTCATTTATATTCTTGAAAAAAAGTGGCAGTAACTATAAAAACTCATTTATTCAATTTGAATAAAGTAAATATTGATACTAGACTTTACATTTAAAGAGACTTGTCTAGCAAGTGAGTCACGCTTTAACAATAACCATAGTAAAAGGGTAAAATTTAGAGCAGTAAGTTAAATAAAAGGCTAATAAAACTTTGAGGAAACAGCTCAGTGTTTTCTTTTAAACCCTAAGAACACCAAACATATATTATGTTGCATAAAGAGTCATTTCAAGAAAAGACTATTAACAATGAAATAGTAAAATCAGTACTGAGAATTTCAATGATATCCAACTCAAAAATGCATAGGGAGAGTAAAATTATTTTATTAAATCATGCACATCACGTGTGTTAGTGCAAATAGTTTAATCTGTACTCCAGAAATTCTATTGTACTTTATATCTTTACAAAATAGATTTAAAACAATTATTTACTTTAAAAAATGTAATTCTGAAGTTAAGCATTTCAGAACAATATTTGCAATAACCTATATACAAGAGGTACTGGGTACCACTGGCATATTAGCATTCTGTGGTGGAGTGGCTTCCTGCAACAGAAAATGATGAAATGAACTATATATGACAGTATTTTCTACAAGTCATTTGTGACTAATTCCTCCATAAATCTAGTGATCCTCCCAATAACAAATCCCAAATAGCTTAAAACATAACCTTTAAAGTAGAAACAATGACTGGCAAACATCACAAGGCAAATTATATCCTAAGCTTCTATTTCAATATTTGGCTAGGCCTGTGAATTGCCACAGAACATTAAAGCCAATTCATTGACATTCCCTCCTAGTCTCCATTGACTGAAAAATTTTAACTATATGATACTTTAGGATATTCTATGACCTAAATAAACTTTATTGACATAACCGTGGTGCTGCACAAACCCATAGCTAAACTTTCACTTCTGTGTTGTAAATTTATAACATCAAGCAGTGTTTAGGTGCTTCATTGTGCATGGAACACTATTTATCTTGGGAATAGTGCTTCTCATTAACAGAATGTCCCAATTAACAACAATAAAAATAAAATAACCATTTGCATACCAAACCAAGAAATCTGTTGGTAGGTAACAACAGCTCGTCTCAAACATGAATTAGCTTTGAAATATCATAACCAAATTAAGTCAGTAAAAGCTTATCTAAAGAGATATTAATTCTTTCTTCAATTAAACATGCTTGGAGGAAGAGATGATAGAAAAAAAATCATGCTTTCTAAAATGCTGTATATGAGAAAGTAACTTGGCTTTTAAAGAAAATATCTCTTTAAATACATGAGGTTTAATAAATTACATTCCAATTGACTCAACAGTTTGGTTTACTGTACTGAAACTGTATAATTACTATGTTTTTGCTCCCAGAAATACTTCAGTTTGCTTGAGAAAAGACATACTCTCATGGAAAGTTTCAAAGTTGGTGTCCTCCATATTGTCAAGTCACATTAAGGCCGAACAAGCGTGCACATATTCCCCAAATTATCACTAGAACAGAATATTTTTCAAGCGTATTTCTTCTTAAAAAAAAAAAAAAATCCACATAAATAGTTGTCTCTAAGTCTTGTTCCCAATAGCTCAGTGGTTTTATAACAAGTAAAAATGGCGTAAATATGTAAAAAAAATATATATATATGTGTATATATTTCAAACTGATAGGCACTGAGCACACAGGGCCTCTCTTCCCGGGTATCGGTTGTTTGGTTTGGGCAGTTATCGAATCAGAAAAATGAATTATCTGGCCATTAGAATTCAGAGTAAAATACCCACAAATTTAATGTTATAAATAATTTGGTGTACCAAGAAGCCTACTTTAGGCCACCATAATGTTCAGATTCTCAACATACTAATTTAAAAATTACATGAAAAATTGCAAGCAAATTATTGCTTACAGTTGAATAAAGTCACAATTTTATATCTTCTTTATAGACAGATACATTTTATATAATTTAAAGCAATGACCCTATAGCTGTATTCTTGCACTTCTGCTGTTTTAAGAGGTAAAAAGGAAGAAAATGGTTGTTTGTCCCCAGCATGAGTGTGATGCCAGCTTCTAGAGGGAGGACGGTGTACGGACTCAAGAAACGCTCTCATGGAGAAGCTCTGGCCAGACCTGGCACGTACAGCACGATGGCTGTCACTGCAACCAGGGCAGCCAACATGGGCATCCAGGGCCAGGGTTTCTGTGTGGAAAGAAACCAAGAGTCAATATCACATTCTCCCCTCTCTTTTCATACCTATTAACCCCTTGGTTCCAGAGAGTCCTGAATACTTAACAGAATATTCGAAAATTCTTATCCTTGCATAAGAATATAATTTAAAAAGAAAAGAAAAGAAGGTGAGGGAGTGCAGGTGTGAGGAGAGCCATAAGAGCAGGAATTCTTTTAGCAGACCATTGTGTGGGAGCCTAATACAGCTTAGGAGAGTCTTGGGCAGTTTTTGGTTTTGTTACAGTTGAAACCGAGTAGTGACTTCGAAGAAACCCTCTGGGCTTAGCCTGCCTTATTTGCTCTGGTATCATATATTATAACTGACTGATGTATATAGATGTCTGGAGTATGTTTCTGCCTAAAATGTTTATTTCTTGATGAAAAACAGATTCACATGTTGGCGTAGTTTTATACAAGGGGCTGGTAGGTAAGGTGATAGAAAATGGTCAAAGCTTTGATCCCCTATTTTCAAACCACAGAAGACAGATGGGAATCAAGATAGGAAAGTGTTACTACAAGAATCCTGGCTGTCTGATATTTTTGCTAACGACCATGTCCCGTGTAATTACACCATGTGATCATCTCATATGCTCTACTGACATGCATGCCTGTTGGAAGCATGCATGGATGGGCTGTTTCCAGTTCACTTTCCGAGGGTTTTATAATATCAGCTTGCTATGGGTGATAGCTTCATTTTCACTGATGTTCTGAGAGTCTTACTGAGAAAGTTGACTTTTAAAGAAATATTCTGATGTTGCAGGTGAGAGTTCAGAAAGATGTGGTATACGTTTATACTCTTGTAACTGAGTACCTCATTGGGGTTAAGATTGTGAATCAATGGTCCATTATGATAATCTCATCCTTTTTCCTTTTTATAGCCATAGTGTAAACGGGCAAAAGTTGAAACAAAGAAATTCTAAGCTATGGAAAAGAAGAGGGAAGGGAGGAGGAGGAAGAAAGCTGGCTGAAAACTTCAGAGGCAAACTCTTCATTTCTCATTCAAATCTAATTAAACATATAATTGGGAAGGGGGTACTAATATTGCGGCAATTCAGAGTTTACTCCAGTTTGCTAGAGACAAAAACTCAGTTAAGGTAGTAAATTAACAAGAAGTTAGGTTGGAATTAATTCATGGTTAGCATTTCTACAAAGGAAACAAGACAAAATGTTACGTGATTAGTTGACTGTTCAGTTCATTCATATGACACACATGGCATACTAAATGAAGGGTTTGCTTCAGGTAACACAATACCTGTGTGGTTTTGCCATGCACTATATTACAAATGTGGCACAAACAGGTGACGGGGACAAACAGACAATGACTCAACAGTAGTGCTTGTACCTTTCTCTACCACAATGGACCGAAACACCAAAACAGGAAAGCCAGGAATAGGCCGATGAATACGGCTGGGACGGGTTGTAATATGGAAGGCTAAAGAAGGGAAGGGATATTAAAATCATTTTAAGCTATAAAAAAATCAAATAAGATGATTTAGACCCCAGGAAGCTAGGAGGGAGGAGGAGAAGACTGAGGTAATAGAAGTAATAGCACTCAGGTTTTACACTGATTTAAACATTTTAAAGACATCTAACACAATCCTGAATGATGGACTGTGGTGTGTAAATTGGCAAGCTACCAGTTTAACAGGACCAACTAGAGCGAATGGGAATGTGGGTGTCCCTGACACACGAATGAAATGTAGCAGAGCAATGGCAGCACCTCACCAACTGATACTCTGCTTGACAGTACATTATTTTTTTTCCATATTTGGAATCCATTATTTGATGAATAATGTTTAGAAATGACTAAAGTTTATTTTATCCCTCCATCAAAACTTTTTTTTCAATGAGAACTCTTGCCTGAGATGGTACTGTTTTCAAGTTCAAAAATAAATGCTCTGTGATATGTGCTTCCTAAACCAGGCAAGAGATCTGACACCATATATGATAAACATTTGTTATATAGAGACAGGTAGCTGAGTCTCAGGGATTTCAGTTAAGTTACCGGAATGTAATTAATTTTTAAAAATTGGAAGGAAATTACTAAATGAGAGTTAATACAAAGTAATATTTTGGTACCATAAGTTCAATATCATAAAAAAGGAAATTCACCCTTATGATAAGTGATTTGAACAACTACAAGTAATAATAGCAAGGTTACTTTTGAAATGATTTTGAGTAGTACAGAAGGATCCATTCTGATTATGCTAGATGTCTTCACAGATTAATTTAGTAGCAAGTAGGCTGAAATTCCATAATCAGAGGGATACAGATTAACACAAAAAAGAGAAGTAACCAAACCATTATGATCTGATTTCAGAAGAGTTCCATAATGTATACTTTCAAAATAAATGCAATCCATTTTTTGTTTAGCATAAAGCCTCTGCATCCAATTCACCAACTTTGAAAAGGGTTTCAACCCAAGTAACACGTCTTTATCTTATAAAAACTAAGATTTTCTTTAGCAATGGACAGTTGGACACAATTCATGAGCATTCAGTATGCAACTGTGTAGTTGGATGGCCATGCAACATTACTCCTTTGTAGTTGTGATTGCAAGTGAAGCAGAGTGCCTTCCCCCATAGGAAGTGTGTGGTTCATGCCCACTGCAGTATCCAAGCCATGACAGGGGTTTGAAATAAGTCAGAGCACAACCAACCACACTGAACATCCATCAGTTAGGGCCCACAAAGGCAATGATCACCAAAACATACAACACAACATTTATTTAGTACATCTTTAAAAAGACCATCTGCCTTTCTAGCAAATGAAAAACAAATATTATTAAAGTCAATATATACCAAAATGTTCCAGTTTCCCCTTCTCGTTCTCGTACACACACACACACACACACACACACACCACACACACACACTCACACATACACACCCCTCTATAGTAACTCACCAAATACTTCCCAATAGTTACAGGATCCAAAAAAAAAAAACAAAAACCCACTATGGTTTTAAGGAATGTGCCTTAGTGAGATGAAAACATTATTACTATATAACTATAAAGCAAAACCCATAATTAAGTCTCCCATTTTTTGATACAACCAAAGTCTGAGGAGTCAACAGGTACTATACTCTTTCTTAGACATGTCCCTAGTGGTATAGTGCTAGGGAAAAACAAAAGCCAGATGATACCCTAGGCTCTCCTAGGGTACAGGTTAAAGGGGCACAATGATTCCATTGGGAATATCATAAGTGTAGTTCATATGTGCTATGGGCCTTACTTTCTTATATCAGTAATAAAGTCCTCTGAATTTCAAGGTTTTCACCTGCCTCTCAATCAAAGCTAAGCCAAGTTTGCAAAGACTTACATTATTTCCTTTCTCTCGGAGCAGCTTCAGGTTGTCTTTACATTGTTTGAGCTCATCTGTGATTGATTGTTTTTCCTGCTCAGTCATTTCAAACTTCAACTTCAGCTCTGAGAGTACAGTCTGTGTCTTTTCATACTAAAGGCAAAGAAAAAAGAGTGTGCAGACTCAACTTAAAATGGGTATGAGGTTATGGTTCTAGTCAGGCTTAGTCACCTGTAATAGCAAAGTCAAGTCTTTTTGTTCTAAGGAGGATAAGAATTATTTGCACTAATAGTAAGTCTTTAATGTTAACTTGATTCTATGTAGGAAGTTTTTGGCTCTGGATTGTAAAGGTAAAGTCACCTTTTGTCATAGTTTTCTAATATAAAGGGTCACTTGTTCCACTGAGTTAGGGGAGGAAAGTAAAATTTCAAGGTGAGCAAAAGAAAAACAAGTAAGAAAAACCCCATAGCCTAATTAAACAGCAAGGTTAGGATGTCAGTTTACAAAGTCACACAGTGAGCAAAGTCATACAGGTCATTTTTTAGACTTGAAGTAAAAAATACCTACTCCCAGTTGGCCTTCCTTCACCCTGCATCACTGTGTCCAGAACATTACCGTGTTCAGGATAAGTAAATTTTCCAGGCAATGAAGCAAATAAACGTATTTAAGGCACCAAACACTATGACTGGGACATTTCCACGTCTCCAATTATAACCTATAAGCATCAATTAAAAGTAACTTTTAAAAATAACTTTTTAAAATTTGTTTCTGATAATTTTCCATAGTAACGTACCACTTCCTGCTCTGGAAAATAGTCAGAAAACAGTTCTGATGGACCAGCTATTACCAGCACAGGTGAGGCTAATGCAAAACATTGTGTGGTTTGCTCCTACTGAAGTGCCCTGGAAAGTGGGATTATAGACTGGTTACACTTCTAACTGTTGCAGCTTACATGCAAGCTGGGCACCCACTCAAAGAGCAGAGACTGTTTTGCTTCTGGCTGTGGCTTCCGCTGCCCCTTTCTGCCATCTCTGAATGCTTTAGGAGGTAAGAAAGACAAAGACTGAGTGTAAAATAAATAAACAATAGATCTGGCATGCCAGAAAAGTTCCATCTCTTCCATAAATATAGCCCATGAGGGTGGAAGCCTTCAGTTCCTTTCTGTCTACAGTCAAGAAATTCCTCAATAAAGCATACCTTTATAACACACCTTCAGTGCTTCTGAATAATATAAATACCTTGGAGTGATTTATTAGGACTTTGTTTATTTACTCCAAAAGATAGATAGATATTAAGATGAATGCAAATGTATAAAAACATTAGACAGAAGAGGTGAAGGTGGAGTATCAGGGTCAGTAAGGAGGTCAGAAGCTAGGAAAAATGATGTGGGTACACAGAGGGAGGGAAAATGAAAGGAATTCCCTGTTACCTAACAGTGTTCCCAGAATAAATCTGGTTAGTTTCCAGAGAAGGAACTAAAGAGTAAGATTCATGACCTTTATGACAGTCTGTGGACTTTCTTCCAGAAGGCAGAAGGTTACCACCAGGCTACGAAGGCAAATTCAATGACTTAGATTGTTCTCTGCACCTTAGGACATAATCAATTCTCAATGATTTGATTCCTAAAGAATAACTGGAAAGTGCTTTGCTGACCAAAATTCTCTTACTTTCCACCATTCTTACAACTGCCCTGCTCTATATACCAAAACACTTGATCATTTCTCCATTCCAACAGTTGTGAAGCAGAATGACAGGAAGGCAGCTCAGTTGGAAAGATCCTGCTGTTTACGTTTTGTATGTGAGTGGGGCGGGAAGGACTCTGGCTCCAGGGCCAGCTGGAAAAAAAAAAGCTTTAAACAGCTTTCCTGAGTCAGTCTTTGCAGAATGTATTTGTGTGCTCAATGTCTCATGAATTCTTAAATGGCAGGTATTTCTATTAAATTAAAATACATAGATACTTAGTAAAGTCAGATATAAAGATGATATATACCATTGCTTTTTCCTTAATACTGAGGGTTATAATTTACTTTTCTCATGAACTTTTTCACACCTTGCTTGGATATTGTTTTTACTCCATTTTACATTCTAACTTGGAGGTAAGAAATGAGCTCAGTTCTGGTTAAAAGGGAAACATAACATAATATTACCAAAACCTCTGGTCCTTCATAAAAATATGGGTTTGCTTAGTTTCTAATATTTTAGCCTGTTACAGAGCTGAAGATACACCATCACGATACTGTGCACATTAAGCATGATTCTATGAGAGAAAGGAGAACAAAGGAGCAATGTTGAAAGGGAAGTGCATTAATAAAAAGTTGTAATTAATTTTAAGTGGATCACACAGATATAAGAACCTCCTTAAAGAATATTTTAGTTATAGAATAATATAGTCTCTAAAGTATATATATAGTATAGACTCGACATCAGGACAAACGGAAAGAGAAGTTTACATTACAAAGGAGTGTGATGATTACACATCATTTCACATGAAAAACACTGAACAAGAAAATAGAAAAGAAACATACTGACAAGATCAGACATATTTTTAAATGTGCTGCATTTAATGCAATCCAAAAGCTATGAACAGTTTAGATGCTGTGACAACATGCCACTGCCATTTGTGGAAACAGTTAAAGCATTTTGCACTGATTGCTCAGTGACCAAAAACAGACAAATAAGTAACGCAACAAAACTGCTAATGCATTCATAGTAACATACAACAGAATCATCTCCGAACCACAGCATTCTTCCCAGATTTTGAAAGAATTACGGCATATGGACTGGAAGGACACAAAGTGCTTACAGTATTAAATACTAGGATATTTACTTTGGCACAAAATTTGTGTTCCAACTAAATAAAATTAGATTTCTTTCAAAACACACATCCTTAGCAAGAAGGTAAAAATGAACATATTACAAAAGCAGTATGCCCACACATAAATAAATAATATTACAGTTTTTTTTTCCTTTAGAAACAAACATGAAGATAGAAGAACAACAATCATTTCTAAGTTCAGGATACTACAAGGAAAGAAAAGTGCAAAGAAAAACTGTATTGATTAAACAGATCTTTTGAAAACAATTTTGGGAAAATTCATTATTAAAGACAGAGTTGTCTTCAACGTCCTCCCATTTAAAATGAATCTTTCATTTAAAAGAATCTACAACTGCGGTGGTCCTTGATCGGTAAATCAATCAGCATCAGCCTTCTTTTTCCCCTAGTTTTCTAGGAGTCAATGTAGGGAGCAGCAAAAGGACAGTAAAACTGATCAGAAGTCTTACTGCCCTCTAGTTAATGTCAAAGGTTTGTGCAGGAAAAGGCTGGTGGGGTTCCCACTCTAAAGTCAACCCTCACCATTTTTAATATCACATCCAATGACACTTTTTTAAAAAGACACCCATGTCATTTTAAGCAAAATGACATGAAAGGTGAGCATGCACATTTGCGAAGGGAGAAGGAAGAAAGTAAAAGGCCACAGAATATATGTCTGACTAGCTGGCTAAGAGGTAAATTATAAGTTAACTGTTTCAGGCCAGTTTCACCTGAGGGGTTTAAATAGCATTGTAGTGTGACCCCAGTTTGCTTTCCAAAAGTATTCTAAGTTAAATATGTTACTGTCTTTGAAAGATAAACAATGAATTACACGATCTGGTACAAAGGGCTTCTTAACTAACTGGTAGAAAGGAAATTTTAATGTAATTTTGTATGTTCATATCTTTGAAATTAAACCCTACTGATGAATTCTCTCTGCATGGATATTGATGCACAGCTAGAAATCACCAGAGATGCTCCAATATCAACTCTGTGACAGGTAGTGTGACTTCTGCTTCCCTTTACTTCTAACTAGCATGAATATCTGATTTGCTTTTGGCTTTAAGCCCAAGCATAATTGGGCTCATAATGTCTTTTCGCTTTACCTCTTTCTGTACATCCTTTGCTTGGTTTTCAGCCTTACTGAGAAGAGTTTTTAAGTCTGCTGAATCCCGAAGATGCTGTTCTTTCAAGGATCCCACTTGACTCTCAAGTTCTTTCCTGGTTATCTGAAGGATGCTGAGATCACTGGTAAGCTCTAAACTCTGCTTCTGAGAACTGCAACATAAATTTTGACAGGTAGTTATTCATGTAGAAGCTAAACATAGCAGAAAGTCCAATTTCTTATACTTCATTAGGAGGGATGAGGTGGGTTTCAGAGGAAGAAAGGAAATTATAGAAAAAGAGTGTAAGATATTTTCAATAAGTAAAAAACATTAAAATGTCAAAAAATGTGAGTTTAAAATTGAGGCCATTTTCAGGTAATCAGCTGTTACATACTAAGGTTAAAATTTTAAAATCAGAAGTAGATGGTGACTATCTTTATATTTTATCACATATTAGTTATATAATAAAATGATTCAATGTTCGTCTCCTACAAGAAAAAGTGCATGTTTCAATTATTTTTTTTTATAAGAACGTAATAGGATGGGAGACAGAAATCAAAAGTCACTGTTAAATAAAGACAAATCAAATCAAGTTAGAAGATATGCCAAATTGGGGGGAGAGCATGGGACAAAGAAACAGGAGACCGTGTTCAGGATTACAGTTCTGCCAATATTTAGTGTGGAATGTTAACAAATCACTTAACTGGTGCAGTTTCATTCCCTGCATAAACATTTCCTTGTCAGTTTTAAGATCTTTGTCAGGCACCATACCATGTTAGACCAACATAAAATAATACAAGGAGAGTCTCAGTGCCCTCCACTGTCAAACAAGAGGGATGAACTATTAGTCAGGCCAATATACCTAGGAACTAAATGGCATATAAGACCCTGCGAAGGAATACTTGCTTTTAAATACTTACTACTTAAATGATGGGGAGGCTTACCAAATAAATTTACAAAAATACAGAACAAGAAAAATTTAGGAAACAGATGTAATTTGTCTTCAATAGGTTATATGTCTTTAGGCATAGAACCTGACCAATGATTTAATATATTTCACCCTTCTGGAGAACATACTTCTAACTCATTAAGAGTTTGCAGGCTTGCTTTTCAACACTTAAAATTTGAAGCAATTAAAAAATAGCAATTAACAATCTTGACAGATTCTAGTTAATCACACCTCAAATATGAGGAATGAAGTCTGAATCTTTAAAATATCAGTAATTCCAAAATAATAATAATTTTAAAATAATCCTGGCAATCAAACAGTATTTCTCATTGATAGAATACTAAACTAAATGGATTCACTAAAATCCGAGACTTGAGTGTCTACATCATTACTCTTTCTATAATCCTGTTTGAAATTTGTAATTTGAATTTATACCTTTCAGTAGTATAAATCCTTCATTATAGTCATCTCCTGATCACCCTTATTAATGGAAGGGATTACTGGTATGAAAGAAAAACACACTTGTATTTGAAATTTGATTATCATTCAGTTTATAGGGCAACTTCAACCATTAATTGTAGATCGTGGTTGTTTGCTCAGGGTTTTTTTTTTTTTTTTTGGTGGGGAAACAGGATTCAATGAGTGTGCATGCCATAAGGAAACCAAAAAGAAAGGCCATGCAGGATGATGGCAGTGTCAGAAATAAAATGTTGAAATATTCACTTAGTGTAGCTAACCAGCCAAATAGCTAAACAATCTGGATGAACATTTTCCTCCAGAAAGATATTCAAATATCAAATTCAATTTGATTTAGATGAAAATTTAAGATAAATATTTTGAAGCTAAAAGAGTTCTTGCATACTTGTGCAATTCTTTTTCTTGTCGCTGCAGTTCTGATGATAGCAAAACATTTTCCTTTTTAAGAGCACGGCATTCAGTTTCCAATACATTCCATTCCTTTCTCAACTTCTCCAGTTCACCTAAGATAGTCCCAAAACACACTCATTAATACAGAAACATAATTCCCACAGTCAATCAGAGGAAAAAGGAAAATATTTCAGAGAACAGCATATTTTACCCCCCTTAAACACATGTAGAGTTTACATGGCCATTCTATGATTCCTCTTTCTTTGCATCTGTATCTCAGGGAAGTCTCATTTCCTTGAACTTGAGTAGTACTTTTGCCCATTCATTTTCATAAGACAAATAATTTTTAAGTGTTTATATAAAAGAAAAAATAGTAAAAACATTTTAATTTTTTGTAGAACTTACAGGGTTGAAGAATGTTTATAACCTCCAATATAAAAACAGTATTTTACATAACCAATCGCTATCACACAGAGAGAAATAGCCTGAATTTGTGCAAATTACAAAATTATCATTGTCAAGAGTTAAATGCTTTATGTAAAATACATTTACTCACTTTGTAGCCTTGTTGCTTCTTCTCTCTGCTGGTCCTCACATTGTTGACACCGAAGCTGAAAACTGTTTTGCAGACTTGTGATTTCTTTCTCATATTCTGAGGCTGCTTTCCGCCACCGCTCAAGCTCTGCTCGCACCTTCTTAAGCTCTTCTTGTAAAGAAGTAATGTCAATATCCCTCTCAGAGGCAGCCTTTTCTGCTGCTTGATGAAGGAGCAAAATTTCATCTCGGGCACTAAGCAATTCATTTCGAGTGCTTGTGATTTCACTGTCCTTCTCCTCCCGGAGATTCTCCATATCGACGTGTAATCTCTGCAGTTGGGCTAATAAAAGCATATTTATCCATCATTGTCTTAGTCCGTAGCAATTAGGAATAAAAGAATAACTCATATGGGATTATAGTTCTGGCACTCCCAGGTTGTCAGAGCATTTGTTGCTTTTGATTAAATTGTACAAACAATCCATGTTTAATGCAGAGAATGCCAAACTACATACGAAGAAGAAAACCAAAGTGACCTGTATTTCCCCCACACAGAGAAAACTGTTCCTAACATTTGGTACTTAATTCATCTAGATTTTTTTCTATGCATTTATATACATATAAAAAAATACAGAGGGATTATAATATATATATATATGTATATATAGTGCTCTCTATTCTGCTGCTGCTGCTGAACATCTTTAAATAATAAAAGTAGTCACATTGTAACTACTTTGGAGTAAGCCTTTATTTTAGACATTTTAGGTTGCTCAGTTTTTAATTACTAGAAACAATACTGCTATAATGCAATCCTGATTTTTTTCTCAGGGTAAATTCCAAGACATAGAAGTGCTTGGTCAAATGGCAAGTGCTAGAAAAACCTCTGGTTTTGATGCAAATTGCTGTTCAAATGTCAATTCCTTAAAGGTGACTTCTCTGATGACTTATTTAAAAACATCCCTCGGGGGCCTCCCTGGTGGCACAGGGGTTAAAGTCTCAAGGCTATCAAGCTATCGCCAGCTACTGCAGCATGAGTTTAAACCCTGGCCAGGCATCTGACCCTCATGGCTCAGCAGACCTCTCCAGTCTTGCCCACTGCTCCCCTCAGCAGTATATTTCAGTATATCTGCCTGTTCTGTTCCCCACTCTGTCTCTGGTGAATCCTCTCACCACCGCCCTCCCACCTCCCACACATTTGGCCTACATTCCAGTTCTTGTATGCATAAATAAATAAAAATAAATCTCTAAAAAAAAATCCCTCTATCATTCTCTAGCACTTTACTCTGCCTTATTGGACATAACATTATACATTTACTTTTCCACTAGACTCCATATCTCACTCCTGTGGGTTCTATCCTCAATACTAGCAAAATAAACAATCAATTAATGGCTGAATTAATGAATGAGTTAATGAATTGATAAAATTAATGAAAATTGCTTAATCAAAGAGGTTTGTTTTAAAGATTTGGTTTTGGAGACTCATGAAACTAAAAACAATTCGTACAGAACCATACTTGGTTCAGAGCTAGAAAACTAGTCTAGTTACTATAATACAAGAAAATTATAAGTAGAATACATTCCATATATAGAAAAGAAAAATAGTTTAAAAGATTTAGGTCTGAGAGAGGGGGCAGTTGTCCCATATATTAAAGAAATTATTAGGTCTTTTAAATTTGCAGGCAGCACTGAGAGGTAACATCTTCAAAATTTGAAAAGATACAATGGTCAGAGATAAGATGACCATGAACTTGTGGATAAAGTTCTACAATGCAAATGCAGGCACTAGGGGGCACTCAGTGATGCTTAGGTAAGCACATTTTAAGACAAAAGGCAGCACTATGTCACAAAACCTTTAGAGAAAACTACCTATACACAGTACAAGATGGAAATTTACATTCAAATCAGATTTATATAAACCAATGGATAATGACATTAAACTCAAATAAGAATTTAAAGAGTTTTCAATTTAAAATACACATACAACCTACCCCAGAAATTTTAAATTGACCATAGTAAAATTAATTTTTTAAATAACTCAAGTGTTCCATACAAAAATAGAGAACACACCAAAGGTTTTTTTTTTTTTTCTCTCTAGAATATTTTAAAGCAAGTATCATAGGTCTGATGCAATAATACCCCATTTCTTCTAAACTGTGATTGTCTTTTAACTTTTCTCTCTATCTCTCAAAGTAAAATTTTAAAATAACATTGGTTCCTTCTTGACAAGAAAGGCAAGTTAAATCTGCTTTAGGAATTTTACAGTGGCATGGAAAATAAAGATCTCTTTGAGGGTATCTCACAATCATAGTCTCATATTACCAGGAGCTCTGGTTCAAAGAAAACCCTTGATCTTTCAGGTCATTACAGTAGTGACCCTTTGATAGACAACACAAAGAAATAGCAAAATGGTGGGTATGAAGAGCAGCCTTTACCAATGAAGGCAATGAAGAGACTATTACTCTATTCCATGTGGTACATAATTTCTATTGGCAATGCAAGTGTGTGATGATCATTAGAAACAATGCCACCACAGAATACAACAAAAATAACTCTTTAGACTGATAAATAAAGTGGTTAACAGAGGAGAAGGGGAAAAAGAGTCAGAGCAAAGGGTAGAGCAAAAGTCAACGTGAAAGGGTGATACATAGCAAGGTGCGAAGTTATACTCCTGAAATATATACCAAACAAATGGTAAATCAATACAAGCTGACTAAAAGAAAATAAATATGCCACCAAACAAGCTCTGATACACAGAAGAACTTAAACTGATTTCCTATATGAAGAATAGCTGTAGTAATTCACTATATAACCCAGAAAGTGGCACAAAATTCCTACCTTCACCCCTGCTCTTCCCATTCCAAGGGTCCACTGGGTAATTGTGACTTGTATGTTAAAAGCTCATCAAGAGACCAATTATAGCCCAAGATACCATAAAACATGGGAACTATCTGCACTCCCACTTTTCATTCTGTTTAGATATCTAAAAACTAACAATAATGGGGGCCTCCCTGGTGGTGCAAAGGGTTAAGTTGCAGCACTATGAAGCTATTGGCAGCCACTGCAGCATAAGTTGGATCCCTGGCTAGGGAGGTGGCGCCTGGCAAACCTCTCTTGTCTCGCCCATTGCTCCCCTCAGTCAGTCTGCCTGTTCTGTTTCCTACTGTCTCTGGTGAATCCTCTCAACACCCCCATCCCTGAACCTGTGGCCTGTACCCCAGTTCTTGTATGCATAAATAAATAAATCTTAAAAAAAATAAAAACAAACAATAACAGTGTTCATACCTTGAAGAACCTGTATTTGTTTAGTGGATTCCTCAACTTGATTTCGATAGGCTTTTCTTTCTTCTTCCAAAAGAGCTGAAAGTAAAAGAGGGTATATCTAATTTTGTGAGTTAATGAAAGTATTAAAAATTGATTAGCTGGAAATTTCTAAGAAATTCTCTCTTAAACTTATTGAAGGAAACAAAAATTAGGCAGTATTATCAGTATTAGGAGTTAAAGATTTTAGGAGCAAAAAACAGTAGTATGTAATAAATCTATTTAATTTAGTAGTGGAGTTTTCTAGAACTTGTAACAAGATAATGTGCTAGTCTTCAAGTGAGAAGCATTCTAGGTAGTTGTTAATCAGCATTTTGAGCTTAAATATTAAAAAAACAGGCTTTAATATGCTCATGTTTTACTACCAAGCATATAGCAAATACTGATTAAGTAACTGTTATTTGCTAAATTTTAAAATCATAATTAAATACATTAACCTGGGTGCTCTAAAAGGTTCAAGCTAAGTGAATACCAATTCTAATTTCTTCAAGAAAAGAAAAGTAAGAAAGTACAGGAAGTTCTAGTCTGTCTGTCTCCCCTGCAAAATGAATCTTCCTCTTGGTCAACAAGAGGAAGATTTTAAAGAAATCTATTTTAAAGAACATTAGGTCCACAGGCCATTTACTTTCTCTTAATTCTAAAACTTTCTAAGGTGTTAACTGACTATAACCAGGTAGTTACTGTGACTGATATGGAAATGTAAGATCTAGGAATAGCACAGATTACACTAGCCTATATAACACTACAGATAAGTGAGCAACTTGAAAATAAAGTGGCTGAGATGTTAGAAGGATCTATACCTTAAACTTGTCTGATTTTTATATTTACTGGTGAACACACAATAAAACATGGGACATAAAAATTTCCCTTATCTTACACTGAGTAGCTATTTTTAATATGTTTTTTTTTTCCTTCTGTTGTACTTACAATGTAATTATTAAGATCTTTCATTGGTACAAGTCTTTCTTGATCTTCACATCAACAATGTGAAGTAGAGCAAATTCCCCATTTTATTAATTTGAAATATAAATTCAAAAAGGTTAAGTGAATGTCCCAATCTCACATATCAAATAAAGTTGTGGATCTGAATCAGATATCATGCCTTTGAACTCCACGTTTAGGGCCATCAGTTATATCATGTGTTCATGTTGCATCCCCTAAAGAATCACATAATCTTGATCTCACCTTGAAGTTCAAAGCATTTTTGTTTACTTGCTCTAGCTAGCTCCTGGGCTTCAATCAATTCCTTGCGAAGATGTTGAATTTCTTGTTTTGCCTCAACTTCTGACTGTGCACCCTGCAAGTCATCTGACAAAAATGTTTATTTTAAAAGCAAGAGTTAGTATGACAAATTTATCTCTACAACCAAAGATTAGTAATCTCTTTCATGTTTAGACATACATAATTAAACAACATAGCACACATGAGTTAAATACATTTTAGAAGCAAACTATATTAAGCATTTTAGTCATTTCACCCTGGGGAAAGTGTATAAGTACTGTTAAATATATAATAACACTTCATGCCAATGGCATTATAAGATAAATATATTAACTTATACTAAATTATATGTTTCACTCTGCAAAGTTTATGTAACATTTGAAATTCAGTGATGATGCTATTCAGGCATATGCTATTTTTTATCAATTGTAAAATTTCTTGGTAACAAGTCAGGAAATTTTCACTTGGAACTTGAACTGGAAACGGAAAAACAGAAACAAACTTTTCCTCAAGAAAAGACTATTATAGCATGATTTCCCTAGTTGTGGAATACCAAATTAAAACTAGGTTGAAAGCCCTTCTATACTCACTTTCTCATCACTGTATGCTTAACACCATACACATAACAAATAAATATTTGCCGAATTATTCAATGATGCAACCTAAAGGGTTTATCAAAATAAATTACATCCAGCATGGATGAAATCTTTTGCTCCTGAACACTGCTTGAAATAAATATATTATAAGGTATACCATACTCTTCTAATGCATTCTGTTTGACCACTACTTTGGTTTACAAGTGCTTCAGGCAGGACAACTTTAATCCATTAAAAAATAGCTAAGAATAAAATTTCACAGCAAGTATTAGATGTCACAAAGACTTATTTTCATACTCATATATTATATCTTATTTTTCTCTGTCAACAATTTTGGCTATGGTTCATTTATTCCAGTTAACTACCAATTCTTCCTCAGTCTCTTGCTGGAAGACACTTGATGGGGCAGGTAGAGAGAGAATTTCCAGTGGCAGAAAGAAGTACTATCTTAGCAACTATAAAACTTCTCTTTCAACACCACATGCTGGAGTCTGCAAGAGTCCTAGCTGCCTATGTCTAGAGTGGTCCTTATGTAGGGTATGACCTTATTTTTAGGAATATTTAGGAGGGAAGTTAATGCTTCTTATTTTCAGGTGGTTTAGTAAAAAAATAGCTAGATAAAATCGTTGGCTAGATTATTTTCCTAGTTGTGTGTGAGCAGTTTTTTCACCTCAATTCTTTCAACCTTTTGAGCTGAATAAATCTTCACTCTAGGGACCACCTTGTATTTAGTAGCTTTCTAGTCTATATCCACTAGAGGCCAGTAGTGCTCCCTCTGAATTTTAACAACCAAAATTATTTCCATATATTGTTAAATGTCATGTGGGGGATAAAACTGCCTCATGTTGAGAACTACTGCTCCATGTTAATAATTCGATAATCAGGGATGGGGGTGGGGAGGAATTTACACATATACTCCTTTTCCACAGAAGCATTGGTAGGTAATTCTGAAATTACTTTCTGTGTGTTTTAAAAATGATCAGATGAATTAAATATATTGTGGATAAAGGGAACCAGGTTTCTCCCTGTTAAAAAAAGAGAATTATAGCTATGGAAACAGGGAAAATGAATAAATCCTATAGCGTAGGGTATGAATTAAGAGTATGAACTCTGATTTGAATATATAGAAAAATATAAATATAGATATGAGATTATATACAAACACATATACACATATGTATATTTATATAGGTACATCTATATCTTAACTCCATCCACTGAGTGGGCCAAGCAGAAATGAAAATACCAAATACTGAGATCTTTGTTTCTAAAGGCCATTCTCTACTAAAAGGACCTAAAACTTTTGAGAAATGGCTAACTTTTAGGACTAAAGCAAGGAAAATACAAGATGAGCACAGAACATCTTCTGTGTCAGAAAGTAAGAAAAGTTTCAAAGAGTGATTGGGTCATGTCAAAAAGACACAGGGGTTCCCATTGGTCAAACGTTGCACAAACTGAGTATCAAAATAAATAATGACAGTGGTACATTATAATCTATTAAATAGAATAATGAAGTCACAGTGATACAGAAAGAGGAAGAGGGGGAGAGGGATCGAAGGAAAAAAAAAATCTTTATAGTAGAAAGCCAGCTAGTAAGTATAGAAGAAATGAATAACTGTTTCAGGCAAGAATCATCCGTAGATGCTAAAACTGAGTAGATAAAAGTTTTTTTTTTTTAAGATTTATTTATTTATACAAGAACCAGGGTACAGGCCAGATGTGTGAGAAGGTGAGAGGATTCACCAGAGATGGAGTGGAGAACAGAACAGGCAGACTGATGAAATACACTGCTGAGGGGAGCAGCGGGTGAGACAGGAGAGGTCTACCTCGCCATGTGGGCATCTCCGCTGCCAGGGGGGATTGAACCCGTGCTACAGAGGCTGCGGACAGCTTCACAGCGCTGTGCTCAACTGCCTGAGCCATCAGGGAGGCCCTGAGTAGATAATAGTTTGAGGAGTAATAGGATATATACATAAATATCATAGAGCAATTCAATATCAGGTTCTTTCTGATATGATACCCAGTATTATTTATGATTTAGTACTGAAAAAATTGCATAGCTTGAATCAAATCAAAGAACATAAAATATATCCAAGACTGAGAGAGACATTTCACAAAATAACAGTGATCCTCAAAAATGTCAATGTTGGGCCTCCCTGGTGGCACAAGGTGTTAAGCACCGCACTATGACGCAATTCGCAGCCTCTGCAGCACAAATTCAATCCCTGGCTGCCAGGGAGTAACCCATATGACGTAGCAGACATCTCCTGTCTTGCCCACTGCTCCCTTCAGCAGTGTATTTCTGTCAGTCTGCCTGTTCTCTTCACTCTGTCTCTGGTGAATCCTCTCACCCCCAACATCTCTAGCCTGTACCCCAGCTCTTGCATGCAAAAAAAAAAAAAATTTAAAAAGTCAATGTCAAAATATACAAAGTTAAAAGAGACTAGATATGACAACTACAACACATGACTCAGGACTTTGTTTTGTCATAAGGGACATTGTCTCAACAATGAACAAAATGTGAATAAGATTTATGAATTTGATAATAGTGATGTCATCAATGTAAATTTCCTAGTTTTGAGAACTGTACAGTGATTATGTAATAAAATACACAATAAAGTATTTAGGAGTAAATGACAGAAAAACAAAATCTAAAACAGGCAGATATAACATCACAAAAGTGCTGATGAAAGTTAAAATATAATTAATACAATCATAAAAGGCTATCGTGCTTGCAATTTAAAGCTATCATGCTTGCAATTTACTTTCAATGATTGGGGAGAGAGGAAGGAGGAAGAGGGAAATGGAGAAGAATAAATTCAGTAAAATGTTAACCCCAAAATGGGGTAAAATAATAACATCTAGAGAATTAGCATAAAGAGTTTATGGGATTCTCTTTTCTATTCTTGCAGCTTTTCTATAAGCCTAAAATAAAAAGTTAAAAAAATTATATGTATATACAAATAAATTAATATGGCAAAATATTAACAACTGCTGAATCTAGGTGGTGGGGATGTATGGGTGCATTTGGTATTCTTCAACTTTCTCTGTGTTTGAAATTTTCCTAATTAACAAAGATTTCTTGAAATTACTAATCCTCAATCCACAATCTAAGAACAAGATACAAACATTTATATCTTGGGCCTCCCTGGTGGCACAAGGGGTTAAGACGCAACCTATGAAACTATCCGTAGCTTCTGCAGCACGAGTTTGATCCCCGGCCAGGGAGCTACCCATATGGGGCAGCAGACCGCTCCTGACTCACCCGCTGCTCTCTTCAGCAGTGTATTTCACTCAGTCTGCCTGTTCTGCTCCCCACTCTGTCTCTGGTGAATCCTCTCACTCCACCCCCTGCACCTCTGGCCTGTACCTCCGTTCTTGTGTGCATAAATAAATAAATCTTTAAAAAAAAACCACAACATTTATATCTAAATTCCTATCAGTAACCTATCTTGCCCTTTGGCATTCTATAATGCATGTGAACTAGAGCAATTTTCTTACTTAAATCAAGAATCTACAACGACTCCCCATTGTATCAAATCCAGGCATCTTTATCTGATTTTTAAAGTTCTTCACATTCCAATTATTTTCCATTACTGACTAATATATTCAATTCCTACTAGTGTCCTTAGGAGTTCCAGCTCATCACTACTTTCCTCACTTATCTTTGCTCATACCACACTCCTTTACACACCCAAACCTGCAAATCCTTTAAAATCCAGTTCTTCATCTAATCTCCTACTGCATCTACCCAAACAGCAGTCTCTTTTGTCTGATTTCTGGAACTTGATAGTAAAACCCAAGCAAACCAGGATGCTCTTTCCAGTTTCTTAATTGTGAAAAAGCATTTACTTTTGGTTTTAACGGCACATGAACCCATATAAATTACAGGATTTGGGGAGAGACATTTAAGATCAAGTAATCTATTCTACTGATTTGACGAATGAGGAAATAAAAATCCAGAGATCTCAAATGGCTTATACATCTGGGAAGTGGTGGAAAGAGCACTAGAATTCACAGCTCAACTGCCTTTCCCATAAACCAAGGCATAATTTTAGTTATAGTAACAAGCATTAAAGGCACATGTTTCACACTTCTGTTCCACACTACATGGAACATACTCTATAGAATATTCATTCCATCTAATAGAATGTTAGACATATAGGAGGCACTTAACTATCTGACTAATATACAAGGTAACCAATGATTTTCATAAAATGTATAGATTTTTAAAATAAACATAATAAACATAAATGAAGAATGCAGTAATTAAAGGGCTGTTTTATTTTGAGGAAGTGGATCCTTTTATAAATGAAGAATCACATGTAATCCATCTTGAAAATTTATTAAAGCAGAGAATTTTTGCCTGCAGCATGATAATTCCCTTGATTGGTGATGCTAAAAAACAAATCTAATTCTTGCTTTTTAAAGCAAAAATAATAAACAGATTTTATGTTAAGTAATTTATAAGACAGAATATAATTTAGGTAA